CTTTCAGTTGCCATGATAATTAACTCGTTATTTTACACTGCACTTAGCATCCGTTGTATTTGCCAACGACAGTGGAAGTATGAGCCCTTCCTGGGTGCTGTCGTGCAAATACAGATTACACGGAGCTGGTTCTTGTCGTCTATATAGCACAATCCCCCGCACGTATGTTCGGGGTGCAAGTTTGATGGCTTTAGCGATAGTGGCAAGGAGGATCTCCCACGGTCTCAGTCAATTGGACTGAAACTCATCATGCTCTAGGATTTTCGCGTGTTTTGGTCGTACAATAAGTGCACAGAAGAGTTATTTGCGGCAGGAAGGCGCTAATTATTTCCATAAAGTTAAATTTTGCTTGGGGAAATACAGCACCGTGTCCCCAGGGAACCCTCCGCATCATCACATCACCAGCCAAGCTGACAGAGTATAACAAGACGATTCTCGAAGGGTTACAGAGGTAACACACCTACGAGGAGGGAGGGGGGTATGAGCAACCGACAGAAGATTCGCGGCAAGGGAATAGGAGAAGCCAGTTCATTGTAGGGTTACAGAAGCAAAAAAAGTGGAGCGCAATCGTGGAACACGCAAGCACTCGGGTTTCAGATTGCACCGATAAGCAGAAGTCCACTTTTATTCAACAAATATATTGCAAGCAGTTGAGAAAGATATGGCACATCAGCAGTGGAAATGGCGAAATAAGTCCATCCAGTCCCGACCGTGTGGATTTCTAACCCTTGATGACGCCGATTGGACGGAGTTTTATCACTTTCTTGCTTATACCCGCGGCATGACCTGAAACAGAAAATAAAACATAAAAGGATTTCAAATACCCTGATTGTACAAGTAACACAAAAAGATACTCAGTAGGGATAGGAACCCACATGTGTTGACTACATCCGTTACATTCTTGTAGGACTCCGGAGCTTCTTCCATGACCAGTTTCGGAGAAGCAACACGGATTGATATGCCCTTGGCAGAAAGCTGGTCCAATACCTCACTGTAGTCGAGCGTTCTTCTGGACTTAGCTCGTGAGAGTGCCCTTCCCTAAAATAAATTAAACTTATAAACTACGGTCTAGAGAAAAGGGGACGAGACAAAGGAAGTTGAAAACAGGGCTGTCTTAGGAAAGAGACAGTACGCACTTGATCCCACCCTGTAAAATCAAGTGCCTTGATGAAGTTTATGGGCTGTGTGCATTTAGATAGAACATTAGAATGCTGAGCAGGAGAAGGAGAACAAATAAACAACTGAATCTGACGTTAATACTTCCAGATACAAAATGTAGTCGATACGTGGATGACATCTTCTGTCTGACAGAACATAATACTGACACCGAAGTTCATAAGGGCGCATTCATTGCTCAAGTCTTCTGCAGAGTCTGAGGTGAATAGTGAAATCTGTTTTCTGATATCCTTCTACGAAGGCAAAAGGATAAATCTATCCAGCGTAGTAGAGTATTGCGAAAGAAAATCTGGACGGGCCAATAGATCAACTTTATTCCTTTTTAAATTTAGGGAAGTAAAAATATTAAAGTCCAGGGATTGGATGCTTAAGTACGATGTAGTTGCCTCCCCCCTGAAACTGTTGATGCAGAACTGCAACAGCTACATAACACACTCCTTGAAAATGGATACCCAGAAAGGTTCATCCTTGGAAATATTGGCGTTCGAAAACGAAGGTGAAGATCGACTTCCGTTGAAAACCAAACCGATTTGTATTTACTCTTTCACCTGCTCCCGTGAAGCATGATACATTAACCGAGCAACTAGGCACTTGGAAAAGAGGATACGTGAGGACATACCGACCAGACTAGATAGATTTCGAGTCCTATTTTCGCAAACCTAGTCAAATAGATCCCAACAAAGCCTTTCAAATTGTTTACTGGACACGAGCTAAGTTCTCTAAGGGCCTGTCCCAACGGGTACTAGCAACAACCGAGGCAGTAACTATACGGCTAGAGAATCCAATACTGCGTTGACACAAGACGCAAATACAGGCACTCTCTCTTTCGTGGCCGACGCCAGACGGCGAAAGCGTGTTGCTCCCACCCCCTGGTGATAGTAGTTCACTCCATGAATGTGACTGACTTTCAATATGCGCACTCGACCTATCACCAGTGCCTACCCTATTTTCCCTCCTTCTCCGGTTCAATGACCTTAACATGCTGACCTCGCCATACGGGCAGTATTAGAATGGTGCATTTTAATTATAAGAAACTTATATACCCGGTTCAATTATTATATTTTCACTATCAGTGCAAGTGTACTAGTCCGATGATGAATTGCTGAAAAGGTATGTTTGCCGTAGTGACATTTCAAGATAAAATATTGGGTAACAGTCTTGTTTTGGGCTCACTAGAGCATAAGAAAAACCCCGGCATTCTGTAATACGGGACCGGTTGTAATAGGTTTAAATGAGTGGGACATTTCAGGGGAAAGAAAAATTATTAAAAAAGTAGAGTGTATAAAAGCAGAAAATATTAGGAACAATTATTTAGATAACCTACTATTTGGCTCGTAATAATTAAAATGAGAAATACAATCAACAGGAAACAAGAACTGCCCAATAGTAGCCACGAATTGGATGCAATCGTATGCCGACTCTATATCTAATTTTAGAGATTACAGCAAAACCATGAAAGATAAACTTTTTTCCCATTTTTTAAATTCACAATAGCCTCTAAGCCAAAAAGCAACCGCATGTTGCCAGAAGGTAAAACTAAAATAGACTTAACCCAAAATAACTAAAAATTAACGTAACCAAAACCTAAATTAAACAAAAAC